TGAGGCCGGGGTCCTCACAGTCTGCCCGGAATGAACATACGGAAACCGCTAATGATGACCATGATGATACTAATGAAACTGATTAATGATGCTAATGAGAATGATGATTCAAAAATATGAAAAATTAAAGAAAAAATGCTATATCAGCTTTTTGGCCTCCTAATCTTAGAACAACTCCCAGCCCTCCCTATACCAGGACACTGTACCTCAAAGACAAAAACACCTAACTAATTGTCAACCATAGCTGATCTCTTCTCGCTTCATTGCAGCCCCCCCCGGTTCACCACTAGACTGCCTTCCACCCTCACCAAACCCCAGATCTCTCTACAAGGCCTCACGCTCCTGCTATTAACAGGTTACAGGGCAACGCCCCAACTCCGGCCAGCGTTGTTCTGGCATCGGCAAACCAAGGGCACAGAACAGAGCAACTCAGTTGAAATCAGTCCAGGTTCAACCATCTCCGAAGTCCTATATCCCGAATGTGGAAGAATGCTAGATGCTGCCAAAACTTCATAACACCAAAAAGCTTAATATAACAATAATCAGATGATGAAACTAATGGTGTGATGATGATGATGATGATATATCAGCTATTCTGGGCTCCAAATCCCAGTACAACTCCTAGCTCTTCCTCTACCAGGACACTATACTACAGAGACAGAAACATTCTGACCAACATCAACCATAGCTGATCTCTTCTCGCCTCCTTTCAGCTCCCCCCGGTTCACCAGTGGAATGCCTTCCACCCTCAGCAAACCGCAGATCAAGGCCTCACACTCCTGCTATTTACAGGTTACAGGGCAACGCCCCAGCCTCGGCCAGCGTCGTTCTGGCATCGGCAAACCAAGGGCACAAAACAGAGCAACTCAGAAGATATCAGTCCAGGTTCAACCACCTATGTAGACCTATATCCCGGATGTGGAAGAATACGAGATGCAGCCAGAATTTCAGACACCAAAAAGCTTAATATAACAATAATTAGATGATGATAGCCGAGAATTTCAGCACACCTCCGTTTTCTCCATTACCCTATCTATCCCTTTACTCTAATATGCCCCCGCTGGGATTTGATGCCCAGCCCCAGAAAAGAGTATTCCTCACAATCTGCCCATACCCCGTCCATGATTCCACCTCCCTCCTAATGAAACCCCTGCGGGGCAGGGCTCTCCCCTACCCCCTCACCAAATTGTCATTCCTCTTGGATTTTGTTGGAGGCGAAGGATAGCGCCCTGAAGATAATGATAACGGGAATGATGATGATGATACGAAAAGCGACACGAAGCCTTGAATAGCAAACTCTACTGATAACAAAAAGTTATCGATAAAGATGATGATGATGATGATGATGATGATGATAAAGATGATGATGATGATGATGATGATGAAGATTAACCAATGATGATACTCATGATGATGATTATGATGATAAAGATGATGATGATGATGATGATGATGATGATGATGATGATGATGATGATGATGATGAATATGATGATGACGCACTAATGAAGATGCTCATATTGATGATGATGATGATGATGGTATGTCAGTTATGCTAACGATGATGATGAAGATAATGATGATGATGATGATGATGATGATGATGATGATGATACTGATGATGATGATGATGATGATGATGATGATGATGATGATGATGATGATGATANGATGATGATGATGATGATGATGATGATGATACTGATGATGATGATGATGATGATGATGATGATGATGATGATGATGATGATGATACTGATGATGAAGATGATGATGACTCACCAATAAAGATGCACATACTGATGATGGTGATGTCAGAAATGTTGCTACTGTTGCTGATAATGCTGATACTGATGTTGCTGCTCCTCTTTGTCCATCTGGTGCCCAACACTCCCGCTGCCACGTTCTTTCCACCTTGATGCTAAACATGAAGATGATGGTGATGATGATGTTGTTGATGATGGCGACGATGATGACTAATCTCGTTACTGATGATGATTATAGGGGCCTCAATGCCATCACTGTAAAGAATAGAGAGCCCCTACCGGGCATCGATGATCTGTTAGATAGAGTGCAAGGGTGTTGGTACTTCAGTAAGATAAATCTGAAGTCCGGGTTCCATCAAATTGCAATCCGGCCCGAGGATCAACACAAAACCGTTTTTCAGACCAGGTACGGTCGGTACGAGTTTGTGGTGATACCTTTCGGCCTTTGTAATGCTCCTGGCACCTTTCAGCATGCTATGAATCGGATATTCCATGACTAATTGGATAAGTTTGTCATCGTGTACCTCGATGACATACTTATTTTTAGTACGACTGTCGAGGAGCACGTTGCACATTTGGACAAAGTCCTCGGTCTCCTGCGACAGCACAAGTTCAAGAGCAACGGTGAGAAGTGCGAGTTTGGCCGCACCCGTGTCTTGTACTTGGGCCATGAGATCTCCGAGGAAGGGTTGAAGCCCGATGACGTGAAGGTGGCCAGCATTCGTGATTGGCCATGTCCTCAGTCTGTGACTGAGATGAGATCTTTCTTAGGAATGACAGGCTACTATAGGACTTTCGTTAAGAACTACAGTATAGTGGCCGCTCCTTTGACTGATCTGACCCGCCTTGACACCCCTTGGGAATGGACAGATGAGTGCGAGGCTGCTTTCAGACATCTGAAGCATGCGTTGACACACTACGAGGTCTTGAAACTTCCTGATCCTGATAAGCCGTTTATAGTCACCACGGATGCCAGCCAATATGGCATTGGCACCGTGCTCGCGCAGCAAGAGGGTCCAAAGTTAAGGCCTGTAGAGTACATGTCCAAGAAGATGCCCTCTCAGAAGTTGGCAAAGTCCACCTATGAGAAGGAACTCTATGCGGTGTACAAGGCTCTGACCCATTAGAGACACTATCTCCTTGGGAGGTTCTTCATCCTCAGGACTGATCATCACACCCTGAGATGGATGAGAACTCAGCCTCGTCTCTCTGACGCCCTCAAGCGTTGGATCGAAGTCATCGAGCAATATGACTTTGACCCTCAGTATCTGAAAGGGGAGTACAACAAGGTTGCTGATGCCTTGTCGCGTAGACCTGATTTCTCAGGTGCGCTAACCGCGAGGACCAGTTCATGTTTGAGATCATACGCAGACTTGAGGCGAAGGACAAGAAGACTTCTGCTGAGTTTGAGTTGGTCAATGGCTTGTTGTTCCTTGAGAAGGAAGGGAATAAACGATTGCGTCCCCCAAATAGCGAGTCTTTGCATAGTTTGTTTTTAGGAGAGTGCCATGATGCCACCGGCCATTTTGGGTGTAAGAAGACCGCAGCCAATCTGTTGCAGCGGTTCTGGTGGCCCACGATGATGCGAGATGCCCAGCTGTACGTGGAGACTTGTCAAGTTTGTCAAAGGGACAAGCCACGTTCTCAGGCTCCTCTTGGGCTTTTGAAGCCCCTTCCGATTCAGTAACGGACTGGTGAGAGTCTGTCCATGGATTTCATGGATACTCTAATCACTAGCAAGAGCGGGATAGGTCACATCTTCGTCATCGTGGATAGATTTAGTAAGTATGCTAGGTTAATAGCAATGCCGAAAACAGCAAAAACGGAGTATGTGATCCGAATGTTCAAAGAGAACTGGGTTAGAGACTTTGGTTTACCGAAGTCTATTGTCAGTGACAGGGATGTCCGGTTTACTAGCGAGTTGTGGAAGGCCGCTGCTGCAGAGCAGGGCACTCAGTTGCAAATGACTTCTGGGAATCACCCAGAGGCCAATGGACAGGCCGAGCAACTGAATCGCACTGTACAACACCTGTTGAGGCACTACATCAAGCCCAACCAGGTGGACTGGGATGAGAAGCTTGCTCTCATCGCCAACTTGTATAACAACGCTGTACACAGTGCCACCGGGGTGAGCCCAAATAGCTTACTGCTAACATTTAAGTCGAGACTGCCCCTAGATTTCCTTCTCCCTGAGAATCAATCCACTGCTGCACCAGGTACCTTAGAATTTGCATATCGCTATGAATAGAAGATGCAGCAGGCTGTAGAACAGATGCAGAAGGCACAGGTTGCAATGATAGAGTCTGAAAATAGACACCGCCGACCTTCTACAATTCAGGTTGGGGATAGGTTCTGGATGAAGTCTTCAGAACTGGGACAAGAGCACAGGATCTCCCGCAAACTCATGCCCCAGTACTTTGGACCTTGGAAAGTCTTGGACATCATTGGGACAGATCCGGATGGTCCACCTTATGTTATCCGGATACCTGGTCACCTCCGCACTTACCCTGTCTTTCACGCCTCTAAGCTGGCACCTTTCAAAGAAATTGATCAGTTTCCATCTCGACGCTCAATGCTGCCCCCAACCATGGACGGAGAGGTGGACATCGATGACATCGTGCACCATAGAGAGCTGCCAGTATCAAGACCAACAAGCAGGGGACGCCCTCCAAAACGGACGCTGCAATATTGCGTTCGGTTCCGGCATCACACTGATCCGAAGGAGGACCGTTGGTTCACCAGGGAGGAACTCATGCAGACCGCTCCTCAAGTTGTAGCCCAATACGAGAGATCTCTGCAGAAGGGAAAGCGCCCCATGATTGAAGACTGAGCTTCTCAGAGGACTGTTGAAGCTAAGGAGGAGGGAATGCGAGGCCACCTCCTCTTTGAGCCCCATAAGGCCCCCTTTTTGCAGCCCGTCGGCCGCCCTAAGTGAAGGCAGGCTCGACGAGGCCCTCAGGGCCCTATTCTGGCCACTACGCAACTCAGGGAAATTCAGGCAGTTGCGCAGCGCCAGTTGGTTGAGTGAACCCWGGCCCTGGGCCGCCTGTGTGAATGCATGTGAAGCAGGCCCTGGGCTGGATACGGGTACTGGGCCAAACACAGGCCAAATGCAGTTGGGCACATGCAACCACCTCAGGCCCAAGGCTTGTTTTCGTCGTGCTGGGCCTCAGGCTACCGGGGCCTACTGGAATCTTCCTGGGAATGGACGCAGGCAGGCCACTTCAATATAGCAAAGGGCCTGCCTCCGCATTCGGCATTCGGGTGTTGGCTGCATGCTGCGGAAGCGCTGCTGCGCTATTTGTTGGCTGGCGCCTACGCTCTCACGGGCGAGCAGGGAAGGAGCACGCAGCCATAGCCGAGCTGCCCTGCTGTAAGCTGGGTGAAGCGCAGGGTGGTCCTTGGGTGCTAGTGGCATCTGTGCGTTGGGGAACGAGGTTTTTAGTGTGGCGAGAGACATACCTAGTGCTGGAAGCGGGCGACATTGGTCGCCATATGCTCGTACTTCGGGAAAGCTGTTGACGTCAGCTTTCGGCATCGTAGTATAGGTTAGATAGGATCTGCCACATGTAGTCTGGGCGTCGAGCGCCAGATAGGATATCAACTCTGGTTCTTCGTTGATGATGATGGGACTATTTCAGCATTGTCAATTATGAACTCTTGGTGTGTTCTTATTTGGTGAATCCCGTGATGCAATTCTGTTGTTGGTTCGAGGTCACGACTATCTAGACTCATATGTATGATGCTGTTTGATTGCTGAAGTTCGCTATTGCTCATCTTTCTTGCACTTAGTTGTAGTCTTCTAGAAGGTCGGCAAGCGGGCAAGTGGGCAAGTGGTGAGCCAAGTGGTGGACTAACTGCAGTACGATTGCAGTACGACCTCAGTAGGTTAGCAGTGAGTCCCCAAGCAGCCAGCGGTGCAGTCCAGTCAGTCCCAGTCCGGTCTAGCAAGTACCATGAGGGACTGTGTGCACCATGGGCCGATGGAAAAGGGCAGACCAACGAGGTGCAGAAGTATAAATCAAGAGGCAGCGCCCAGCCATTCATTCATTCCTGCGTGAGCCATGCGGAAGCGCTGCCACAGCGACTTGTGCAAGGAGGTC